AAAAACCTATCGGCTCTCCCTGGCCATGGGCATCCTTCCTCCCAGGCTGTCCGTTTCCTGAAGGTGCGGAATGGCTGTCCCGTGTAAGGTTTCGGAGCCCCACTACCAACGTGGCCATGCTGGCACCGAGACGCTGCCTCCGACACGGGACTCGGGGTGGGGCTGCTGGTGGCCAAGCCAAGGCAGCGGCCTAAGCTACGGTCCAACAGGCTTCTCGACGTGGGGGTGTGTCTTGCTGCTCCGCCTCCCACCAGACTGGCCTAACGCGGAGGCCTGAGGTCAGCCACTGCAGAGAATACAATAACTCTCTGAGGGCAGCCGGGCCCCTTCGCTCCGGGCGGGGTGGGTGATGCTGTCGCCCGAAGGAAGCAGGGTCTGTAACACCTCTCCCGAATAAAGGATTCTCCCCATCTCTCCTTCGCACCGTCACTAACTTCATTATGGAGGGGGTGATGCCACATCCTGAAGAGGGGATGCCCCGACTTTGAGGGGGCAACGTCGCAAAGATGCAAGAGTAAAAGGTAGATGGACGGTCAGTACTCACCTCTCGCCTCAGATTCCGGCTCTGGTTTTGGCTCTGTCGCTGCCACCCGCTCATCTTCAACATGATATGCACGGTGTCTTAGACTCTAGTCTCTGACCTCGGTCTCCCCGAGCAGTGATCTTTTAACAGGGCCTTGCCCTCCTCTCAGGGGCGGACCCAGAAGGCTACCAATCAGAAAGCGGCACGCCAGTTTGGGCCCCGCCTCATCCCTTACATCCGCCACTCAGGAGCTCCGCGGCCCCGCCCCCATCGCGCCTCCTGCTTGGGGGTCCAGGTCTTGTTGGACCCGGAAGTGGCTCTGGGTCACGAGGCTCCACCGAGGAGGTGAGTGAGTCATGCGCGCGCGCGGAGGGGGAGAGCTCGAAGGGGGAGGGGAGGAAAGGGGGGCGGGAATGATGCAATGTTTGGCAACCCGTCTGTGCGCGCACGCGCAGGGGACTACGAGGGCGGTGGGAGGTGCGGGAGGGGGAGAGAGGAGAGAGGCGGGGCGCCAGCTCTCAGCACCCTACGGCCCCAACGGCTAGCAACCGTAGCTGCCCCTAGGCTGACGAGTGAAACCTCGCTGTTGCTCGTCGTAGGAGTTCTCGGTCCGCCCCCCTGGCATTAGCCGCCGTTTTACCTTCTCCATAAAGGGCTCCCATTTTCCTCGGCCCCCCTCCCAGCTAATAATGGGCACAAAGCCTTTTAAACCCCCTTCCTTTGAAAGTTTGCATCCGTCTGCCAGGATTGTCTACATCTCGAGTCTTCTTAAAGGGGTCTGATCTTTTAGCCCCTAGCTACCCAAAAAGGAGCTGAGGTACTTGAATCCCCTTGGTAGTCATTTTCAGGTCCTTTCAGAGGAGTACCCTGAACTTTTGTCTTGATAAAGTTTCTAATGAGTTCTCAATATGCCAGAATTCACGTTCTTTCCCCGATGGGTCGGATTCCGTTTCCTCACTCATCTCCCCTCATGGCGCTCTGGGGCCCTTCACCAAAGACCAAGACCTGCCCTTTTCACTGATCCAGACAGTAAGTCCTGTGACTCCCTAATGTGAGGAGCTGGGCATAGGCCTCCTGCCTCCTAGGCGTTTGGGCTACAGTAGAGTCTTGTTGCCCGGGATATTTATTAAATGCACTTAGCGCACAACTGCCTTGGACTAGGATGTCAGGAGAGGTCAGATTCTAGCTTCAGCTGCCCCCCACTTGCCCAGGGATCCCAGGCCAGCCACCTAGTATCTCTGTGCCTCACCCTTCTTGTTTGAAAAAAAAAAAAAGAGTTGTAAAGGTAAAAATAAGACAACTCTGAACTTGGAGGCAACTTGAACAAAAGTGAAAGGCACCATGCAAAATGAGAAATATTTTTCTTGTGCCATTAGGTAGAAAGCAGAGGCCATGTGGTGGCCTGTTGCACATCCTGTCATACTTTCACCGGGACGGCGCGTTTGTCTAAGTAGGAACTGTCAGAAGGCCGGTGTGAGCTGACAGTGACAGGTCCTTGGTCAGGCCTGCTCTGTTGCTCCATTTCTCCATTTCCCCTCTGTAAACGGGGCTAGGGGAGGGTTGGACCAGATGCCCTCTCCTGGTTCAAAGACATGACCAGATTGTCAGTGACAGGCAGAGGTCATGTGACTTGACAGGCCGAGGTCGTGTTGTGACATGCTGACCTGGGGAGGTGGGTCAAGTCCCACCCAGCACATTACTCGGGAAGCCTTTGGGGCGGGGCAGGGCAAGTCGCGACTTTCATCTTTGGGGTCTGGCCCCTCCCGGACCTGGCAGCCTGACTCCCCCCAACAGATTGTGGGTTTGGAGAGGGCCCCTC